TCCTCCCTACCTCCCCCCTACCGTTCCCTCAGTATCACAGGCAAATACAATTGACTGAGAAAATGTTGAAAGACCATAAAATACAACAGTAATCAGAAACGAAGAAAAGCTTTTCTGTGCTTGCATTCATTTCAATTTGTCAATTTTTGATTTGGAGTCACTTAATAGAGAGTTTGAAGAGAGGAACTTCTTCCATTGGGGAGCTGTATAAGTCAGGTCCTCCATCATGGAGGGCACATGTTGCGGTGAGATCACCAGAAACTGCCTCCCTGTTGTGGGGCGGGACTGTCTGGATGGCCACAACACCCCATTGGTTGCCCCTCTGTTGCTGGGGCAGAAATTTGGCCGGCTGGGTTGGCTATTGCCTGCTGAGGGGCTACTTATAGCTGCTGCACGTTGCTGGAGGGTTTCATTTTCTTGTGATGTGCAGCGGATCACCCGCCCTCCTCTCCCTATATTTAGGGTTGTTCTTATGGTCCTGCTATGCCTTTCTAGGGGTCGTCTGTTTTGTAGCAGGGGCCCAGTAGGAATTTTGCCATTTGGCTGATTGGCTGTTGCCACTTGGTTTTAGCCTACCATGCAGCAAATCATCACAACTTTGTAAGGTTGGCGGTTAGGCATTTTGTTCAATGTTTTGGGGAGGGGACGGGGTTGGCTGTGCCTGCCCCTCCATTGCTGCTGCTAGTGAATTCCATTAAAGGATTCCAGGGGCTCGCCTTGCTTTTGTCCAAACCCTGTCAAGGGGCTAGGGCCACGCCAGAGCCCCTAGGAGCATCTGGGGTGAGCTGTGAGATCGAAGGAGTTCTCGCTCCCCCAGGATGCTTTCCCTTACTGACATATGGTGGTGCCCAGTGTCAGTCCTGTTCCTGCCACCGTGCAGGTTCAGGTAGTCTGGAACCAATGCCTAAGCAACTGCTCACATACTGTAATCAATAAAGTTGTGGCCCAAATTTAATGCCAAAAAACCTTAAACTAAAATCTGTGTCTATTGTGTCTTCATTTGGGGGTGGTTTTGGAGGTCTTCACACGCAATATCTCTTGGCTCTTATCACCTTGTACCAAGGTAAATTAAATTTCTCTATGCAAAGCAGCAACTCTGGTGTATCCAGCACCTTTTGTGTTTACAAGAAGGAAATGTCTAATTTTCTCTTTGGACTCAGGCTATTGTGTTGTTCCTGTGTTAAACTGGGGTTTCCCAAACTTCTGAGAGTTTATTATTATTTTATGAAACAATAAAACAGACAGTGCACAGGAAAGGACAGACATTGACAACCCAAAAATAATACAAATTTCCCACAATGAACTTCTGATGATAAAATCAAATAGTCAAAAATCAGAAGCAAATAGAACAAGACTCATAATTTATGATTTCTGAGACTCATAATTCCTGATTCCCCCCCCCCCCCTACATCATAAGCTTTTCCTATCGTAGGTCTTTTTCCCAGTGCAGGCTCCCTGATCCACAATGAGACAACTGCGCCCTTGAAGGACCAGATGGTCAGCCTTGTGGTCATTTTGGACTCACAGCTGACCATGGAGGCACAGGTCAATTCTGTGTCCAGGGCAGCTATCAACCAGTTCCATCTGGTACACCAGCTGAGACCCTACCTGCCTTTGCACTGTCTCACCAGAGTGGTACACGCTCTAGTTATCTCCCACTTGGACTACTGCAATGCGCTCTACGTGGGGCCACCTTTGAAGGTGACCTGGAAACTACAATTAATCCAGAATGTGGCTGCCAGACTGGTGACTGGGAGTGGCCACCAAGACCATCTAACACCAGTCCTAAAAGCCCTACCTTGGCTCTCAGTACATTTCTGAACACAATTCAAAGTGTTGGTGTTGACCTTTAAAGCCCTAAACAGCTTTGGCTCTGTATACCTGAAGGAACATCTCTATTGTTCAGCCTAGACACTGAGGTCCAGCTCTGAGGGCCTTCTGGCGGTTCCCTCACTGCAAGAAGTGAAATTACAGGGAACCAGGCAGAGGACCTTCTGAGTAATTGTACCCACCCTGTGGAATGCCCTTGTGTCAGATCTCGTAGAGATAAATAATTATAGGACCTTCCATAGACATCTGAAGGCACCCCTGTATAGGGATGCTCTTAATGTGTTATGTTGTGGTGGTGGTGTTTTCCAAACTTATAATGGAAAGCTTAATGCTGGTGGTCAACAAAAGAGGCTTAAAGACTCTCTCAAGGCAAATCTAAAAAAAATGTAGTATAAACACCAACACCAGCAATTGGGAAACACTTGCCTGCAAGTGCTCCAACTGGAGAACAGCCTTTACCAAAGGTGTCATGGACTTTGCAGATGCTCAGACTCAGGACAAGAAACATGCCAAGAGGAAGGCAAGCTTGGCAAACCCTCACTGTGATCAACTCCCACTTGGAAACCTAGGTCCCCACTGTAGAAGGACGTGTGGATCCAGAATTGGTCTCCACAGTCAGTTTACTGACTCAATGTTAAAACTGTGCTCATGGAAGACCATCTTATTCAGCTACGAGTGATAACCCAAGGAAGAAGAGGTGTTTTGGGGGCAACCCAGTCAGATGGGTGGGATTCAAAAAATAAATTATTATTATTATTATTATTATTAAATTTTAACTTTTTGCAAGCTTTATTTCACCTACCCCACACATGGGCAGAGGTAACTTCTGCATATGCAATGATTCTTTGCATGGACTGCACGGTGCGCTGGGCACACAGGAATGCTCTTTAGCTAGCTACTTCAGGGCTGAAGCTGATCACCTTTGTGATAGCAATGTAAGCACCTATCAGATCGAAGCTCTTCAAACTCGGTTGTAATAACCTTATTCCTTTCCTGGGCTGGATCTAGACACATAAAAAAACAATCAGGAAAAATAATAATTCTTTTGGGAATTATAGGGACAGAACTACCTAAATTTGTATAGAAATTCATTTATGTATGCTACTACAGCAGCAAGAATGTTACTTGCCCCAAAGTGGAAAGATGCAGAATCCCCCGCAAAGGAAGAATGGATACAAAAACTTTTGGAATATGCAGAAATGGCGAAACTTACCGGAAGAATAAGAAATCAAGATAACAAACTTTCTATAATGGTTTGTTGAATATTTACAGATAAATTGCAAACAGATAAAAACATTGGCAGGATTATTGTAATAGCCTGCAGTTTCATAAGAGTATTTATTTAAAGTAGATAATTAAATGAGCAAATTAAATGAATTTGGATATGCAGAAGATGTTAAAAAATAAGTTTAAGGAACTGCAGAAAGAGGGACAAGGACGTCAGACTTTGAAATGTTAAATTGATTGTAAAACTAATGTAATGTATAAACTTGAAAAGCATAAATAAAAACAAAACAAATTCAGGAAAACGAATTGTAAACCTCACAATGGGAAATCAGGTTGCTGAAAGACGGAACCCAACAGCGCCATCTGGTGTCACACTTTTTCTTTTTTTCTTTTACTAAAGTAGCTGAGTCCCTGAATTTTGGAATTTTATATCTGCACATTTTGCAAGTGGGAGTGGGGGGAATACAGAACTAGACAATTGCCTTAGTATCATCATTTGGCTTGAAATTAAATCTTTAAGAGTGCAATCTTATGAAGGAGGATGGTCTCCTATCAACTTTAATCAGACTGATTCTGTATAGGACAGCCGCCAGAAATTGCACTTTTGTGTGCAGATGATCTATTCTCATTGCTTCATAGGATGCTTCTATTTTGGCACTGATAGATGGCTTGACAAAGTTTCTCAGATGGCTCTCTGCCAAACGCAGCTCCCACCTGCTATTTAAAATGGTCCCCACGGTCCCATCACGTTGCTGGTGAGTAAATAGACCCATCCCTTTTATCTCTGCAATGTTGCTAATAAGCCCTAGAACCGTTGGAACTGAAATAGCTATCTTTTCTCCTCGAGGATTAAACCGGAGCCATTGGTATACAAACCCTTTTCATTGCCTAGGTCCATATTTGGGATTCAGTGAGATGAAGACCAAAGAGACGGGGAGAGAGAAAGAGGGGGCGAGATAATAGCAGCAGCCTACTTCAAAGTATGCAAGCTTTTATTTGCCACACAAACAGCAATCCCTAATGCTTCTGTTTAATTATTTCCCGTTGTTATGCATAATTTACAGTATCACTGACAGTCACAGGGGCTGAGGAATATGGTAGTAAATTTAAGCCTAAAAATAAAGTGCAGATGTTTGTAATTAACTCGCTAGCAAAACTGGCATTTTGTTACTGTTTCCAGCAGACCGTTTTAGCTGCTGTCATGCCTATTATACTTTAGATTTAGGGTGTTTCAAGAATGGGAGCTCCTAACGCAATCCATTCATTGCTCTCCCACTGTAAACTGCATGTGGAATTGCAGAACTGAATTTCCACATGGGGGGGGGGCAATCACAGTTTCTAGCCTTTGAGCATCCTTTCTGCACTAGAAGGCATGGGACAGCTAACTGGGTGCAGTAGGGGAGTTCATTTCCCCTGAACACCGCCATCTATCTATCTATCTATCTATCTATCTATCTATAATTTACTCGGAGTCAAGAGTGGATTTCATGCTCTTTATTCAGCTCATAGTGGTGAGGAGGAATGGAAGTTCCCCCAGAATGTCTGCTTTATATACATTATTTACACAATGGGCCCCACGTGATTGGCTAATTCCGGGATTCTCCTATAGGCCAATCAGGTTGCGGATTCACTTCCACCTGGAGCTGGATTGGGTGGCTCCTGTGGACCAATCAGACTGCTGCATTCTGGGTCCTGTTGTTCTAGGACCAATCAGACTGCTGCATTCTGAATCCTATTGTTCTAGGACCAATCAGACTGCTACATTTTAGATCCTATTCAACTCAGTACATAACACTATCTATCTATCATCTATCTATCTATCTATCTATCTATCTATCTATCTATCATCTATCTATCTATCTCTATCATCTATCTCCTTTTAAAAAACACAACAATGTTCTATTTCTGCTGCCTCTGGACACTACTGTGTGCTCACCACAAGTACCCCTGGGTTGGCTCAGTTGGCAGAGCACGAAACTCTTAATCTCATGGTCTTGGGTTCAAGCCCCACATTGGGCAAAAGTTTCCTGCAATGCAGGCGGTTGGTCCATGTGGCTCCTTCCAGCTCTACAATTCCCAAACAATTAACAGCAGGGAATGCACATGAAGCATTGAAGAAGTCACAGAGAAAGACGAAGCATTGCAAGACGTCATCCATGCCTCCTGGAGGACCCTTTCCACCATGTGCCTTAATTGGACCTTATCTTGTATGGCATCAGAGACACTACATCCAGTGGGTGGGGGAGCTAAAACAAAAATGCAAATAGCAGAGGTGAAACCAGAAAGTACAACTGCGTACCCTCCAACACTTCTCCAATGGAAATAAGGAAGTCCTTGATGATGATGGTGATGATGATGATGATTTTATTTATATGCCACCGATTGGGATGCAGGTGGCGCTGTGGTCTAAACCACTGAGCCTAGGGCTTGCCAATCGGAAGGTCTGCAGTTCGAATCCCCGCGACGGGGTGAGCTCCTGATACTCTGTCCCAGCTCCTGTCAACCTAGCAGTTCAAAAGCACGTTCAAGTGCAAGTAGATAAATAGGTACTGCTCCGGCGGGAAGGTAAACGGCGTTTCCGTGCGCTGCTCTGGTTTCAGAGTAAACACCTCATCTGGGAGTAGGCTGTAGTGCCAGCCAAATCTTCTTCTCCCTTTCTTTTCCACCCAGAAAACTATTTGCTATTCACTGAGCTATCTATTATATGCAATGCTGATACAAATTAAAAGACTTAAAACTGCTGAAGTGTAAAAAAGATGGTGCTTCACAGCAGTGGTCCTAATTTGTCAGCCAGGAATCACGACAACAGTCCTTGGACCTGTTTGCAGTGCCAAAGCTGAGCTCTGAAACATGTGAATTAATCAAAATAAAATCAGTGCATCTGAGCACGCGCTGAACAAATGGCCCTTGCTAGTGAGTCTAGAAAACAGCCTGGTCACATTTGGAAGCAGGCTTCAACTTGAGTATTTCTTATTATAGAAATCAAGCACTGGGCAGCTGTAATTTCATTTAGGCAACTGCTTTATCCATCTATTTTAAATGCTTTATTGGAGACCTTTCTATAGCCCTCCTTAATAGACCAGACTGCAGATGCAGATTTTAATTAAGGAAGTGAAAAACCCCTTGGAGGAAGTCTTTAAATCCATTTTCCCAGACTTAGAGTAATCCGTTTCCATGGGAAATCTATCTGAACTTTTGAATTGTAGCTTTTCCTATCTGTGGCACCGCACTACCTATATTAGTATATGTAAAAAAAAGGTAAAGGACCCCTGGACAGTTAAGTCCAGTCAAAGGCGACTATGGGTTGTGGCGCTCATCTTGCTTTTCGGGCAGAGGGAGCCAGCGTTTGTGGACAGCCTTCCGGGTCATGTGGCCAGCAGGACTAAGCCGCTTCTGGCACAATGGGACACTGTAACAGAAACAAGAGCACACAGAAATGCTGTTTACCTTCCCGCTGCAGCAGTACCTATTTATCTAGTTGCACTGGTGTGCTTTCTAACTGCTAGGTTGGCAGGAGCTGGAACAGAGCCACGGGAGCTCACACCATCACAGGGATTCGAACCGCTGACCTTCTGATCAGCAAGCCCAAAAGGCTCAGTGGTTTAGACCACAGCGCCACCCACATCCGAATAAACAAGCACACAATCACTGTTAGGTCCACCTGCCATTGTGAGGCTCAAAGCAATGAAGATGATGCCTCTCCAGCTGTTGCCATTGACTGTGGGTTTCTTGTGATGTCACAAAAACACTTGGCAACTGAGTGGATATAAAGGCAGGCCAAGGGTAAAGCCCTTTCCTATTTCCAACAGGACACACCTGGCAATGGATGTGACATTCAACACTGCCCAGGTTTCACTTGGAGGAGGCAAAGTGGTGAATGGAAGGAGGCAATCCTCTGGCAGTGGGATGCTAGGGAGTGATAATAAGGCAAGTTTGCTTGCTTGAAGGCTGCTGGTATCTGTGGCTGGAAACTGGTAGACATCTTATGATGGAGCTTCTGGCACCACAGAACACCATGATGGAAACCAGAGGGCACGTAAACACCATTTACCTTTCCACCGCAGCAGCACCTATTTATCTACTTGTACTGGCATGCTTTCGAACTGCTAGGTTGGCAGGAGCTGGGACAGAGCAACGGGAGCTCATTCCATCACAGGGATTCAAACCATCGACCTTCCGATCGGTGAGCTCAAGAGGCTCAGTGGTTTAGATCACAACGCCCCCCTCATCTTCTATTGGTGTAAAGAGCTATAGTGAGACCCCCCCCCAAAAGGTTTTGGCAGAAAGTTGTCCCAAAGTGTTTTTCTTTTTTAATGTTTTGATGTACTGTTGTTGTTTTGTTTTATTGTATTTTCTTTTGTTTTTGAGGTTTTGTAACTGTTTACTGTTTGCTTTTCTTTTTTTGTAATTCTTAAACTCTAATAAATATCTTTAAAAAAGAAAGAAAGAAAGTTGTCCCAAAGTGAAGGCCGACCATCTTTTAAGTGTAGCTTTCGAACCCAATTTCCCCTTCTCTTGTTTTCTACAAACTTTGCTTATTGATATGCCTCTCACAATAGGCTGTGTTGACATGCTGCTTACTCTTTTCAACGGACTGTCAATAATCCTACCGATCATACATGGATGGGAATGCTGAGCAACTGGAAATATTCTCTGAAGCTATCGGTAGTACCATAGGTGGGGCCAGCAGTCCAGGCAACCACACAACTCTATGTCTTTTCAATCTCTCTCTGTGTGTTTTTTTGTTTTTGTTGTTTGCTAACAGCAGCTTGCTGTGACACATCACAAAGCATTTGGGGAAAGTTCAGGCATGGCTGAAAACTGAAAAGGTGAGGACAATGCCTTCCCCATGCCTGATGGGCTTGTTTTGTTTGTGGCCACGCAAAGCAAGCAACTCCAGGAGCAAAAGGCACTCTGCGCATTGCAGCATTCACAAGGCAACTTTCGCAACCAGCGAACCCAAGAGTTTCCTCCCCCTAATTGGATGGGGTTGTGTGGGGAAACATTTGTGCATATCAGACTCTGCACTGAGGGGATCCACAACAGCCTGCAGCTATTTTCATGATCAGAGAAGCTGAGGAGGGGAATGTTCCTAGAGTCATGGAAATGTCCCGCTATACTTCTTTTTCCATGCTGCTGTTTTTGTTTTTATTTTTCATTGTGTAGGATCTTGTACACAGGACAAATAGCATGGACAAAAAAGAAAACCCATGTCAGTGGATTCTTTCTTTGAAACAAAGCCAGAATCTAACCACCAAATGAGAAGCCAGATGCAACCTGTAATAATAATAATAATAAATAATAATAAATTTTACTTATATCCCGCCCTCCCCAGCCGAAGCTGGGCTCAACAATCAAACAACAACAACAATCAAAATAATCCAGCATTCTAAAAACATTCATTATAAAATTAATTAAAATCAAATTGATGGCAACCATTAAGCAAAATTCTGTGCAGATTGCCAGAGGAGGGGGTCAGGCTGCGCCCTGACCAAAGGCCTGGTGGAACAGCTCTGTCTTGCAGGCCCTGCAGAAAGATGTCAGGTCCCGCAGGGCCCTAGTCTCTTGTGACAGAGCGTTCCACCAGATTGGAGCCGCGGCTGAGAAAGCCCTGGCTCTAGTTGAGGCCAGCCTAACCTCTCTGTGGCCTGGGATCTTCAGGATGTTTTTATTTGCAGACCGTAAATTTCTCTGTGGGACATACCAGGAGAGGCGGTCCCGTAGGTACGAGGGTCCTAGACAGTATAGGGCTTTACAGGTTAAAAACAGCACCTTAGACCTGATCCTGTACTCCACCGGGAGCCAGTGCAGCTGGTATAGTACCGGATGAATATGATCTCGCAGCGAAGACCCCATAAGGAGTCTCGCCGCGGCATTCTGCACCCGCTGGAGTTTCTGGGTCAGTCTCAAGGGCAGCCCCATGTAGAGTGAGTTACAATAATCCAATCTGGAGGTGACCGTCGCGTGGATCACAGTGGCTAGGTCAGGGCGAGAGAGATAAGGAGCCAACTGCTTAGCTTGGCGGAGATGAAAAAATGCTGCCTTTGTTATAGCTGTAATCTGCGCCTCCATAGAGAGGGAGGTATCGAAGATTACACCCAAACTCTTAACGGACGATGCTGGCACTAATTGCACCCCCGCAAGAGATGGGAGTTGCCCCCTCAATCCCATATCGCCCCGTCCCAGCCAGAGGACCTCTGTCTTCGAAGGATTTAACTTCAACCGGCTCCCACGTAACCATCCAGCCACAGCTTCCAGACATCTGGTCAGTGTGTCTGGGGCCGAGTCAGGATGGCCATCCATCAACAGATAGAGTTGGGTGTCATCGGCATACTGATGGCAACCCAGCCCAAAACTCCGGACAAGCTGGGCGAGGGGCGCATAAAGATGTTAAAAGCATCGGGGAGAGAATCGCACCCTGAGGCACTCCACACACCAAGGAGTGGCGCGATGACAATTCCCCCCCAAGCGCCACCCTCTGTCCCCGACCAGAGAGAAACGAGCGCAGCCATTGAAGGACTGTGCCCTGGATCCCCACGTCAGCAAGGCAGTGGTCCAGGAGTTCATGATCGACCATGTCGAAGGCTGCTGACAGGTCTAGAAGAATCAGCAGCCCCGACCCGCCTCGATCCAGCTGCCTGCGGAGATCATCTGTTAGGGCGACCAGAGCCGTCTCGGTCCCATGACCAGCACGGAAGCCGGACTGGAATGGATCGAGAGCCGATGTTTCATCCAGAAACCTACCAAGCTGTTCAGCAACCGCTCTCTCAATCACCTTACCCAGGAATGGAAGATTCGAAACCGGGCGGTAATTGGATAGATCTAAGGGATCTAATGATGTTTTCTTTAAGAGCGGATGCACCACTGCCTCCTTCAGTTCCCCTGGGAATATCCCAGTGCCAAGGGACAAATTGATGATATCCCCCAGGGGGGCCCGGACGTCGTCTGGACACGCTCTAATCAGCCAAGACGGGCACGGGTCGAGAGGACAGGTGGTGGGCTTTCCAGCTCGGAGGAGT